CATGAATAGTAATCGGTCGTTTTATCCTCTTATTGATCACTGTGTTATTAAAATAGAAGTTTCTTTCTACCTTTTAGCTTCTAAAAGACAAGACACAAGTTTCAGAGCTCGGCAGGTCGAAGTTGTTGACACATCAACCGAAGAAATAACAGTGGATTCATTACTGACTCCAAGTGAGTAAAATAATTTAATAACACATGATAACTGACATCCTCAAAGAAGTACAGACAGGTTACAAGGAGATCCAGTAATTTTCTTTCCTTGACTTTTGACTTCAGGCCAGCTATGTTTCGTGAAAACGTAGTAAGATACTTTTTACTTATGAGACATGTTTTTACTTCTACCCCCGCACTCTTCAGTCACAAACGTAAAACGTATACAAACAAATTTGATTTTCTTTTACTTTCTATTCCGGACGGACGGCTTGGTGTTATTTATTTCTTTGAGTCATTTGAAGTTTTCATCCAATTGGAAACTACCAGAAATTGTCTGAAACCAGGCCTGAAACAAGGAGACATGGGGAGCTCTTACTGTTCTTATCAAAATCAGTTTATGTTCTATTCACGATACAGTTGTCGGTCGAAACAATATTGAAGTAATCACATATTCATACGGTAGAGGAAATACATCAGTATATTTTTGAAGCCAGTACTTTTTTTCCAGGGGTCCTTTTTCCAGTTACACAAATGTGTCAGAGTGTAGACCTCGTCCTTGATTTTTCTTCTCTGTTTCTTCTCTCTGGATGATTAGTGTATTCATTCACGGGAAGAAGTCGAACTTAAGAAGTACCTTAATTGACAGCTACAGCTTCCTTTTTAAGGCTGAGTTGTTAAACAAAACAGCGGAAGTCTGGTGGTTGAAGGTCTTTCCCTTTTTACCTTAAAAGTTTCTGTTGCTAGATTGGGAATTGTTATTTTCCAGCAGACGATTGCTTCGCTTTTTATCATGCAGTTAGATTAATGAAAGTGTTCTATTTTCTAGGTTCTCATGACCGAATCATCCAGAAACTTCAGCAGATGCAACTCGATGCAAGCAAAGTCAAGAGCAGAACGGATCTATTACTGGGGCTGAGGAAAATTGCATTAGACAGGGGCTTCAGAATATCTGACAATGAAGGATTAGGAAATTGCATGTTCTATGCCTTGTCCGAACAACTGGAAATTGTTAAGGGAATCAAAATCTCACATGGCGAATTAAGACAAAACTTGGTTCAGTACCTCAGGAGATACCCAAAACTTGTAAGTTGATGTTAGCATATCTAACAGAGTATGTCACGCGCTGTTATTTTAAGAGTATGATAGAGGTTTTAGGAATTATATAAGCCACTTGGCCAACAGCACCAGAACCTATCCCAGTGTTCACAGCGTGAAGTGACTAGGAGTTCTGTTACTCTTCCTGTGTGGAATGATGGTGGTTTTTTTCAGGAGCTCTGATAGCAGCTTGTGTCCTTGGTGGAAAAAATTGCTAATTAAAGGTCGTCTCGTACCATTCTGATAAAATTACTCCCTGACTCGTACTCTACACGCTCAAGTTTCTATCAACAATCCTTTTAAGTTTCCTTCTTTATCTAATTCTTCTTACAGCCGGATGGAACAGATCTGTTTCACTTTGTCCATGGACATCAAACATGGACTGAGTACCTTGTACACATGGAACAAGATGGCGCTTGGGGTGATCACGTGATTCTGTGTGCCGCAGCAAACTACTTTGAAACGTGCATTCGTGTGGTCAGCAGTCTATCCCATAGCAATGATGTAATCATTACGCCACATTGTCCAGTTAACGAAAGCAAACCTCTTGTACTGGGACACATTCATGAGGTGCACTATGTCAGCCTTCGACCCGTGCAAGGTAAAGCTCATTACATTACTCCAATTAAATGTAATTTCTGTTTTATAATGATATTTGTTAGTTAGGGTCCTCGATCTTCTTTTTAGTACCGACAGTTGACGACTGTCATCTCTTTCATTGTTCGATTTGTTACTTTGCTCATTTAACACACATCAGCAAGTTTTTTATTTTCATAGTTTCATGCACTCTATTGTTCTCCTTTGCCGTTTAATCACAGTGTTCTGATTATTGTGTTTACAGGTTAAAATGGCAAGCCCCAGCAAGAGTCCGGCCTTGCAGAATGGTTCTCTAGGCATACAGACTATTGATGCAAATTGGCCAACTTGAGCTTTCTTCAGCCTAATTTATCCAATGTGAACTGTGAACTCTTAGATTTAATTAGAGGTTCTATAATATTAGTTTTCCAATGTATCGCATGAAAAGGAAAACAATCCAAATGACAAAGGATGTAAAGAAAAGACATCACACTGTGAAAAGTTATCGTAACTATACAAAAGTGTACATGTCTACGGGGAAGAAAACACCAATGAGAAACTTTATTTAGGGGGCTCGAAACATGAACTGAACTCAGTTACTCTTAATTTTAATGTACTAACAAAAGCATTTATTGCTACGTACAATCTGTATATACAACTGAATGAAAACTCTGTACAATTGCTGAACTAGCAAGTTGTTTAATGTATTCTTCATATATCAATATTTTTAAAACGTAAATGAAGTAATTCTTATACAATGAAAAAATGCCACATTTGATCACGGTAAAAATCACACTGTACGATCAGAATGTTGCTTTAGGTTCTACAGCACCATGATCTCAGCAATGCATGGAATAATCAGCGCTTACAGTAATATAACTTTCCCCAAATTTACAAGGCAATCGATAATTAGGGGTATCGAATGGTCTTAGCGAGCATGCGAGCAGTTTGTTTATTTTTGCGGGCTCGAGCAGCTGTCAAATTTTTCTCGCGAGCAGCGAGCACTTTAGAAAATACAGATGGCGAGCAACGAGCGCTTTAGAAAAATACAGATCGTGAGCAGCGAGCACTTCGAGTACAGTATTGACTATTTGTAATCTAGTGGAGTGAATCTGTTATTAAAATAAATCAAAGAGAACAAATGAACGAAATAATAGCGAAACACGTTTGTTTTGAAACTTTGTAAATTTCCTAGCCGTCCCATACAGAACTAAAATGTTAAACACCGACTTCCTCTTGAGTAATGAAACTTCAACAGCAATTTAGTCGCGTTTTTAATTTGAACTCAACAAAACGGCAAAGTTTTACCACACGTCGCCGTAATGAAATCTTAACTCCCTCAGTTCAAGCGCGACAACAATCTCGAGAAACTTCACCCCGGGATCCCGGGGATGTAAGACTGAATGTAAACACGGGCTAATTTCGATGATGGCTCGGTGGGTTACCTCACTTACCTGGGGTCCTGTGAATGCCAAATACAGCACCGTGCCGCAAAGAGTACGACACATAAATTATGACTGATTATGCAATTGAAGCCATGTGGTTACTCAGTATTTCTCACGCAAGATACGGCTTTGTCAAACTGCTCTCGCTGTAGACGCCGTCCTTTTGGTGACATGCTTTGTTTGGTGCTGGATTCTTGTCTAATCTTTAGCCTACTCATTTTACAAAAAGTGAAAACAGCCCACAAGACGCTTACATCCCCAAGTTTAACGTTGCGTAAATTGAGTACTGCGGGTCTTCTTATTTTTACCCTGTTTACCTATTACTCAGGTTGCAGGTTATTCAGATTTAGGTAGCGACAATTTTTCCAAGAGAACAAGGACTACAACCGAGGGCCTATAATAAAAATGTTATTTATGGTAACAAATGGCTGAGTAATTAAATCGAAATAAATTTTCGAGAGAGAGATCATACAAATATTACGAAAAGATAGCGTAGTAATATTCCCCAAAGTTGAAAAATGTTTGAGTTGGTGAGGAATGTGATAGCCGATAAAGAAACTTCTTACAAACCTACAAGAACACTACCAACGATTTGGTTTTGTCTAGTACCGTACGATATCGGGATTCTGATGACTTTTCAACAGCAGCAATTCATATCGTTCTCCTTATAGGACTGACTTGAGCTGTTATTTCAATGACCTTCGAATATGTTATCGTGACATTCGCTTAATTCAAAATAATCACGACCTTGACAACGGAAAATAAAATTTCCTTACTGTCACGCGATCACGTGTTGAGGTCTTTGCCTTACTTTACAGTTGCATTTCTCTGATCCCTATATCTATCTAGTAAGTAAATTTGATTCCTTGCGTTTAAAATGGTGAGACAGTTGTCATTTTCACGATTGTCCGAGGATAAGTTGAACGGACAAATTTTCTCCAAAAAAGAAACCTCTTTGAGACTCTCAGTCAGTGGATTGGAGACAAGCGAAGGACCGGGCAAGTTAAAGTCGGTGGTTACGATTTCCTGATCCCACGGCAGGTCTTTCGCTCATTTCCATTAACCGAGAGCGTGACAAGGCTAACATCGGCCCCGCTCCCTAAACGAGAAAAGTGAGAGGTGGGCTTATACCCGGAGGGGTGGGGAGGGGGGGACACTTATGATTTTTTGGTTTTGTTTTGTTTTGTTTTGTTTGGGTAAACAGGCCTTTAACAGTTCAACTAAAAGTTCAATAACAAGCCACCAAACGATGAAACTTGACTTTTTCATGATCATATACCCTGTAATCTTTTCAATGCCTGATGATATTTCTGTGGTAGAACATGTTCATGAGTTCAACTACCCAGCACATTGGCTACTATTTCAGTTTTAAAATAAAATCTCACTTTTTAAAAGCTGGAAATGTACACAGGAAATGACGTTACCATATCTGGGGTGACTAAAAATGGAATCATAAAATGGTCACCATTTTAGAATAAGCTTTACACTCATAATTTTCTTTTAATTCATCAATTCTACAATGGCGTTGGATTTCCAAGTGCCTGAAAAAAACAAAACAAATTTAAAAACTATAAAAATCGTGACACTCAAACTCAGCACAGGGACTTCCATAACATTCTTTTTAAGTTTCCACAAGCCTAAATGTCTCCTTACAACATTTTTTATCCCAGACAAAAAGTGAGTGGGTTCCCTGTGACATCTTCTGTTCCTGAACTTTGCAGCAACAGGTGCAGTTGTTCTCTCTTTTCAAGTCTCTACACTTAAATTTTCTTTGCCTGCAACAAAAATACATCATCAAACAAGAGGAAATCTTTAGAGAGATAAAAAATTAAAATAGTACATGATAAATTTCTTATTGATAAGAATTCCTATTTTACTAACATCTTGTTGCAGAGTAAACAAAAAGGCCAGGCACACCAGGTTTTCTATAATTTGAACATTAACTTTCTCTAATCCTCAAACCCCAAATAGTGACAAGGAACTAATTTCTCCTTACAATATCATCCCTAAATTAAACATTAAGGTCATGAGAATAGAGGAAATGATCACTAACAAAAAAAAGCTCTTGATTGTTGAGCAAATTCTCCTTGTCAGAACACAGAGAAAAGTATGGAGAATATGCATATATATTGATGTTAGAGTGTAAAGGGTTAAAAACAGACAATAGGGAATGCATGTGTATAGATTAAGGATTCTAGAATATCATTGTGCTTCTACGATTTCCTTGGCTGACAGAGTGTTCTTGCAGGAATTGGCACATGTGAGCACAGGGGAGCAGATGGGAAATGTATGTAACAGCATAACAGTTACATGAGCATCATCTTCCAAATATGATGAATTTCATTTTTTTTTTCTATCAATCAATTCTATGAATCTAATTTAATCACACATGTATTTGTGAGGGAAATCTCATGAGCTCAAGTACATCTCTTAATTAAAAGGCATCAGTGATGTTTACAAAGCTTTGTGAAATGAACCAGCTGTTGGAGTGCTTTTTGGAAAACTTTCCAAACATATAATGAGTAACCATAAATAATGAAATGTAAGAGCTGTTTAATATGTTTTTATGTATGATATGTTCTAAACAAAACCTCATACAAATACTGCTCTTTGTACATTCCTGGTGCACATTTCTCAAAACATTTTCAACCAGTTGGAAAATGCCTTAAGATAATTATATTGTTTGATTTGATCATTCATTAGAATGCAGAGGAGGATGGACACATCAAATTTTAATGTTTTCTTTTAACTACTAAAAAGTTTATTGTTGTTTAGTTCTCTTTAACCCTTTAACTCCCACAAGTGATTGACATGTAACTTCTCCCTATAAAATCCATTCATCATCTAGCAAAGAGGTAAGGAGAATACTTAAACTTATCAGGTAGAGGTTGTTTTCTTGATTTAACACCAAATTCTTGTAACTTATTTAAAAGGAAATGTGTAGCAGCTAGAGGGGAGAATTAACAATCAGATCTTGGAAGTGAAAGGGTTAAAAGCTTTAATTTCAAGGCAGTGTGTAGTATGGAAATCCTGTATTGCACTTAATAAGTTATTTTTCAATTCATTCACAATAGACTAATCAGGAATGAAACATTTTGTTGCAGTATATAATGATTATTATTACATTATTTTAGGTAGTTAGTATTTGAATTTAAGTAGAAAAAGCACAGCAGTCCTATGTCTGAGTGACTTGCTGTAGTCTCTTATTTATCTTCAGTCCCTAATTTTTGCTGATGACTGTTAATTAAAATCAGGAGGAAAATAATAAAAAAGGACACCAACAATTTGAGAATGAAAAGTTAAACCCCATCCCTCTCTCACTGTAGGACAGTACCCACTGATAAAAGGATGAACCTGATTAATTCTGATTAAAGCTGACTAATTTGAGAGTATAAGAGTTAGTTTGAGAGTACATGTTTAAGTATGTAAATACTACAAATTCTTTTGCAATTGTTTAAAATCACAATGTTATACCTCCCAACTCAAAAGCCATTTTTTATTTGACCCTAATTGTTCCCTTTGGCTTCAGTTCAAGGAACATTTAAGAGTCTTGGGAAAAGAAAACTCACTGTATCCCTTGAAGCCAGTCATTAACTGCTTATGTTTAACAAAGTTTGAACTGAAACAAACTCTGAATACTGAAAAGTATGGCAAAGAATGTGTTGCATGAGAAAGCCAAGACTCTCTTTTTTATCACCTCACTCTCTGAAAGGACACTTTTGTGCCCCCATTTGACTATCTTGTCATGATAATTGAGTTTGTGATTTAAAACTAACATGATATCCAAGCTGATTAAACACAGAAGAAAAGAGAGCCTGATCAGTCTACCAGAAAACTTACTGCTTGTCTTATACAGGCTTTAAGTGCTTGAAACTCCTTATTACAGGTATGGTTGGTAATGTTGTCTGTCTGGGACACACATCTTCTATAAAGAAGGGCCTGAAAGAAAAACATAACCATTAGGAAAATAATTAATACATCTAAAACAACTTGATGAGAACTTTTTGGCTGAGCATTAAAACAAATTCAGGCATAATCTCAAAAATACTTGAAACAAACTGTGTAAGGTTTTCAGTTGAGTTAATCAACTCTCAGATGTTGGAAGTAAAAGGGTCAAGATTTCAGGTAGTTGGTTAAGAGGAGACAATTTGGGACAGATTTGAACACTGTAATAACCGTTTTACTCATCATACACAGTACTGTTTATAAATTTCATTGAGCCTAAAAACAGTCTAACATTTCTAAGCTTTTCCATGACCTTGGTCTGTGATTGGCTAAAATATTAACACTATCTAAACAACCAATCAGAGACACAAACAGCAATTTGGTTTCTTGTATTTTGCAGTGGCCTTAGTTGGTTTCTGTCTTTGTTTCTCTCTGTTTTTTCTTTCTTCTTACATTACAATTTTATAAACTCTTAATTACATAAATCATGATCAATAACAACAACATATATACACATTAAACTTACAATAATTCAGCTACCTTACTTTTATCATATATTACTCATGATCAATAAATACCATTATAATCCAACATATATATTTGAAAAGTGAACCTCCCACACCATAAACAGTAAGCTGTTCATAAACATTTTTCCCATGTGTTGAAAAGTATTTAAAGGATGATAAACATGCCAGCCTCCATTTGGCACGGAAAGAGGGAAGCTGTAATATAATTTATAATACAAACCTCTCAGACATAAGCATTCTTTTCTCTAACAAAAACCATGGGTTGTCAAAGGCTACTAATTGGGTTGTCATCCACTATACAATGCAACCAAAATTAAACATTGCTTCAGGACAGATTAATTGGGTAATATCCTATGATCAGTACACATGAAGAAACAGGTAAGCAGGTGAAGGGGAAAATTATACAGAGGAACTGCAAGATGTCTGAGAATTGCTCAGGAAATGTTGATAAGCTGAAGAAAACAACAGCACTGTTGGTTTACAAAAGCCAAGAAAAGAAAAAAACTGTAAATTTTGTGGTTAGTGGGAATCACAGTCTCAGAGGTGCTTGTGATGGCCAAAATTACTTGTAATGGTACAAACAAAACACACCCTTTACCCCTTCATCTCCCATGAGTGACCAAGACAGAATTTCTCCATACAATGTCATTACAATATTAAGCAGACAAGTGATGAGAATAAAGAAAAAATATTAATTAGGGGATCATTAAAGCATTCAATACCAAATTCTTCAAATCGACATCACAAGAACTATGTGGTGAATAGGAAGGAGAATTACTAATGAGATCCTGGGAGTTAAAGGGTTAACATAATTCCAAACAAAACAAAAAATGTGAAGAATCAAAGCAAGGTGAACAATTGAAGCAGTTGCTAAAATAAAATTACAAATAATATGTTACTTGAGAAATAAACAAACAAGAAAACAAAATAAAGGAGAACAAAAGACACAAACAAATGTTGTACAAGATCCTGATTAAAGACAATAGAGAACCATTTAATGTGATTCAGAAAAATGATCCAGCAAAGTTAAACTATAAATCAGAATGAATAAAATTTACAGTAAAGAACTTATATGAATGATACAAACATAGGTAAATTGAGCAAAAAAAGTAACAGAAAATCAAAGAAAGTAACAGACTTGAAAACAAAAGAACTTAATGAAAATGCAATGGAAAGAAAATGTACATGAATTGTCCATGTGATATTTGGCAAGGGTACTTTTCATTTATTTCTTACAGCTTCCTTCTTTCCTTCAACCCTTTAAACCCTTGGAGTGACCAGCATCTAATTTCTCATTACATAATCACCCCTAAATCACACATCAAGGTCATGAGAATAAAGGAAATGATCACTAATGAAAGAAACTTTTGATCAGTAACCAAATTCTCCTTGTCAGCACCTTAGGAATCATATAAAGAACAGTAAGGAGAATATGCATACTGATGTTAGGGTGTAAAGGGTTAAGTAAGTCATATTTGGAGGCAAAATTGTATCCTTTGCCAAATTTGAAACTCAGATGAAGACACTTATTGAGGAGTTAAGTTACTCTCTGTAATCCTAAAGTGCAATGGCAAAGAAATCTTTCCAGAGTCACACCACCATAGTGCTTTAATTAACAACTGACATGTGGCTGATCTTCAACAAAACTTTTATCAAACCTTTATCACACTGTGATCATTTGATAAGCTCTCATAAAAAGGAATATGTCTTTCACTAAAATTTTCTTTATTTCCTTTCAATGGTGAACCAAAGAATCCATTCTACACTTCACTAATTTAATCATAAGTTGCATTTTGCTGGAAGGTAAATCAAAACAAAACAAAGCAAAACAAGGCAAAAAATGATAACAAAAGAAACCTGAAGATAAGTTTGCCTTGAAAAACTCATTTTAGGCAGCAACTACGTCTAATCGCTATTTTGCCGCGGAGAAAAACATCTGTAAATCCTTGGCATTATGTATAGCTTAATTAAAAATAAACAAACCAAACCTCATGTGCCTTCGATGCAATTTTTTATTCCAGGTTTCAAATAACTTTCCGATTGGGTAATTTGTCACGGCTAAGATTAATACGAGCAATGCTTACAGAAATAAATGTGAGTATACACTAGATGAGTCCCTAGCTACAAACCTTAGCAACTACATGTACCGGCATTTCATAACCAAGTCTTACATGTTGAACCTGACTTTGTTAAAACGAACTTACTTGTGTTAACTACACGTGCTACTTAGGCGTACTGAACACAATGTGTCGCTTAAAATCTCACCTCTGTTTTACATTCCACAAGAGGCTTCGCCAAGCCCGAGATTCTTCTCTAATCTTTTCCGTTTGAGCTCATTATTTCAGATGCACTTTAGTCTTGCTTTATCCGCCATTCTTACAAGCGCACTATGCATCCTGGGTACTAATTGGCTACAAAGCGGAAATGAACTGGGCTAAAACCGGAAGTCTCGCATCCATCGTTTCAAATACGTTTTTGTATTCGCAATTTAAAAAAAAAACACCGACATTGGTAAACAACGATTTGAGCGTTGAAGGCCACTTCAGTGTTTATCCGATTACGTTTATCGTTCCTTAAGGATTCTAGATCTAATTCATTTCTAAACTGGTGAAACTCGTCAAGGTAGAGTGGACTTCATTTTGATTTTTTCTGAACGATTACGATCGCCATGTGTGTGCGACATGAAGAACAGTTGTTCCTTATTTTATCTGTTTTCGTACATCAAAGTGTTTGTGTATGGCCTTGACCTAATTGAGGTGATAAACCAAAACCTATTGACGGAACTGGAGCTCTTGTTCTGCTTGGAGTTCTTGCCGAATCCCATCGGATGGCAATTTGCTGCCGTTTCGACACAGAGAAAGAGATTGCACCCACCCAAGACCGAAAAATGACGGTGCCGATTGCGCAGGAGAAACGAGACGTACCTCGGGTTGCGACGATGGTAATATTCCCCTTGGCATGAAGAGCGGTCGAATACAGGATTCGCTCGTAACGGCTTTGTGATCAGGCTTATGGTTTTTTTTTGTTTCCGGTTCTTGTTTATTTATGTTGATCTTGAACCTTTCTTTTGCCTTTAACTTATTTTTGTGTCCAATTCTGGTTTTGTTCTTCGCTTGCTTTTGGTTTACAGTGTGGTTCTTGGTTTTGTCTCTCACTTTAACGTTTAATAATTTCTGCTACAACAACGAAAGCTGAAGAGTACATAGCTGTACCGCGTAACTGTTTATAGTGTTTACCGTTTTACTGAAAGTAAGTAGACGTTAAGCAAAGATTCAGCAAATCTATAATGTGTTCTGTCGGTGGCGGTAGTGGTTCGGTAGATTGTCGGATTGCAGTCTCAGTACATCGTAGTGCCAATTGAAGTGGAATACTCGTAAACAGTGATTTCACATCAAATGGCACTATAGTTCCTAGTCGTCAGGTGTCTTTGCCATCTTTTACTTTTACGGCAATAGAAGGCTGGAGAGAGAAAGAAATCATTTGTAATAAGAACATCGAACATTGAACATCGATGCGGTATTACAAAGATTGCGAGTTTTCAGCGATATTTGCTCGTTATCTCAATTCGGAAAATTCCACAGCAGCTCATGGATATGTTTTTTCATAGCTACGCAATATATAACTGCAGCGTAGCAATGGATCGCTTTCTCTAGCTCTGTGAAACCATCTCAATTTTCAAAAGAGCACTTCAGACGTTCCTTTTTAGTAAGTATATTAATAACAGACCATTATTTTTATAGATTTATATATCTTGCTTTAGATTTAATTTTCTTTTTTAATCATTGTGAATTTTAGTTATGTTTAAGTATCATGTAATAACATATGGCTGGCTCTAGTTTTGTTTTTTTTTTTAATCAGTATGAATTTTAGCTATGTTTAAGTATCATAGAGCAGGATATGGTTGTAAATTCTTTTTAATAATGTATGATTTCGTATGATTGTAAAGCGCCTTGAACAGAGGATACGAGCGCTATACAAATAAAGTTATCATTATTATTATTATTAAACAAAATCATTCCTTTCAAAGGATTGGCTGTAGTTCTTCTCAGTCCCTGTAACTGATTTTCTTAACCATTGCAGCATTGCTCAATTCAAGACAGATGTTTCCAGCACTGTATTTCTTTTATTTTTTTATCACTAAAAGGTGAGGGTGATCGATGTACATTAGCTCTAGGTCCTAAATATCTTCAGGTTACATCACACAATAGGTATGTCTTAATTGCTGAAAGGGATGCGTCACAAAAAAGCTGTAAATCTGTACAGCTGAAAGGGGTTTGTCACCAAAGAGCTGACATGTATCGTCAAAACTTTCAATTGATTTTCCGTAATTGATATGATTTGGTATCGTGAGGATAAATCCATTTGTTATGATTCCTGGGAAAGAAAGTCGTGAGCTCTTATGGGCAAGATTTGTGCCCCTGTAGGAGTAGAAGATCCACACATAATACCTAACGCCCAAATTACCACAAGTTCTTATTATCTAAGTTATTATCCGCACATGGGACGGCTCAGTGGAGTAAAAGATTGGTGTCAGAAAACTACTGCAATCACCGAGGACATACAAGTTAATATGAGAGCGCTTCTCGCTGTCTGTGCAATCGCAACGCAAGGGAAGAAAAATGGGTCATTCGTCAAAAGCTACAGGCTTTCCTTCTCCACTGATGAAAGCAGCCGCAGTGTATGTCAGGATCAAAAAATTGATAACGTTTGAAATAATTCCGGCTTTAATCTTCTCTAGCCTGTTTGATATATTTATTTTATTAAATGGGTGTGCTAATCATCCTTACAAGATGAATTTATGACAGTCACATGCCAGTTTTTGGTTTATAAATTGCGCGAAAAAAAGTTCGCTGATGTTATTGAAGATGATTGTAAAATACTTAACATCCTACGGTACTGGACGAAACACGTATCAGTCATCTCATGGTAATAATACTCAGTGTTATATATCTCAGTTAGTGTGTGCGCTATGATCAGTCAATTAAGTGGGCCGTAATCAATAGTACGGCCCTCTAAATTTAAAAGTTGTTTGAATTAAATTTTCCCCCTCTTATTGAACCTGAGACATATAAGACCGTGCGAAAAAACGAGGTTCCGTTAGTTACGATACAGAACAATAAAATTAGGTAACTAAGGTTTTTTTTACATCTCTGGGTTCAAATGGAGGGTGGAAGATATCAATTCAAACAAACTTTGGAATTTAGCGGGAAACTTAGTGAAATTGGGTGCGCTATTTTGACCAATCATAGCACACGTACTGACTGACCAATATAATGAGGGGTATTCATTCTAGCATTTCTATGGCACACAATGTGGTTATTATGTTGGTTTTAAATAAACCTTCTAAGTGGTGAGTAAATGACTGCAAACATATGAAAATCATATAAATATGAACTGCGATTGAAGAAACAAATATGAAAGCGATCCTTGCAGTTAAGAATATCACTTAACTAGTAGGCCCTTTTCAGTTGAGGTATTGAAGAATGAGCGGGATCGGGATTCGCCGGTATAAACCATCGGGATTAGGGGATTGAGAGAAAATTTTAGTCGGGATCGCGGGATTGAAGAAACCTATTGGAGACCCTCTTTTCTTATGTACGTAGAAAACTTCGAAATAGATAACTCGCTAAAATGGGTTCTCTTCAACGTAGTAAGCGGTCAGATAATAGGATGCACTGTGAAAGTAATGTGAGGTATTTTTTTGTGACAATTCGACTTATTTTTTTATTCCTTAAAACGGTCGTAAATATTCCCATACAAACTCTTATAATTTCGCCGTGACGGTTATTTCGTAAGATGATCATCTCACGGCTGGAGCTTGGGCTGCCTGTGTTCGACCCAGACTATATTTGTACACCGTCCTCACCGCAGGAGATAAAGATGCCCTGAGGCATGCCATAGCTCTATCAGGCTTAGTCCACCCGGCTGCTTCGCTTTTTTCCGATGTATAATACCAATTATGCACTATGCAGTAGTCTATCAAATCTTCGATGTAGGTTTCCAAGTCGTGCTTTTCATCTCCCGTTGTTTTGAATTCTGGAAACGGCGTGTTCGAAGTCATCTTGGTTTCAACCGGAGAGAACTTGGCCAGTAGATCGTTATATGCAAATATCCGTTGAGAAATAATCAACCAGAACTTCTGCCACCATGTTACTTGCTCAGTTCCATGTTAAAACTGACAACTTTTATTCATTACGAAGTCATTATAATTTATACAAAGTGCGGTGTTCGTGCTTATGCTAATCGCATGGGTGTGCGTGTTGTGCGAGTGCGATGGTGACAATTACATTGTGCAGCTTTTTGCATAATCATTCACTGTTTATGCGTCATGCTCTTTTCGGCATGGTAACTCCATATAAACAGGCCCCTAATTAAGGAGTGTCCATACCGAGCTAAGCTGTCTGTTTGTCTACCATCTGTAGTTCATTTCTGTTTGTCCGCTGCAGTTGTTGTTCACACTGCTGAGAGGTAAGAATTCTGTTCAATATAGATAAGAGTTTAGCTCACTTGTAAAGTGTAGCCTCGCTAGACTCCTGCAACGCGAACAAAGATAATTCAGCTAAGAACTCACACTCTCCGCTCGATCGAACTGAAGTCATTTCCCCTGAAGTGCTTCAGCCGTCATTTCTGTTAGTTCACTCAAACTCTCTGATATCTTCAATATTCGCTGGTTTCCCTTTGTATTTTAAGTCATGGGTTTTTGATCTATTACAACTGTAGCGACGCCCGTCAAATGCTGAGCACAAAGACTCAAAACGATTTTGATAAAGTTAAACAAAGGCGCGTTCAGTCGGCCTTCTGCAACAGACGGGTTTAAGTGAAACACTCTCAGCAACAGGGAAAAGGAAATCAGTGATTGTAAGTTAAGATGGCCTTAACGGGAAGTTTTGAAAGAAGATTCTCGTTAGAATGGAAAGAATAAAGCAACAACCTGTTTATGACCGTGCTGATGTCAATCAGCTCTGATCGTTAATCATTCTGTCTGGTAGTTATTCAAAGTCGATTAGTTTTCAGTTTTTCACGTTAAGCAATGGAAGTGTTTGAACTGATGACAAAATACTCGCTTAATTCCATGGATTGTACCTAATTTCATCTGACAGAAGTTAGAAACGAACTCAAAACCTCTTAAATCTGTAAATTAACCAAATTAATGCTTGATTGATTTGATTCAAATACAGGTATGTCAGGTGTTTGATAAAATAAATTTAACTTGCTCGCTATCTGCCTCCGTGATTGACAAGAGGGTTCCCTATACTTTTTACGCGAAGCATGCTTGGGCAATTTTTTTCCTCGTGGATCGTGATTTGATTTTTCCTTATTCGTGAATCGTGATTCGTCCACTTGGCTGCTTCACTTTCTTTCGATATATCGTACCAATTCTGCACTACGCAGTAATCTATCAAATCTTCGATGTAGGTTTCCAGGTGTGCTTTTCATCTCCCGTTGTTTTGAATTCTGGAAATAGTGTGTTCGAAGTCATCTTGGTTTAAACCGGAGAAAACTTGGCTTGTAGATCGCTATATGCAAATATCCGTTGAGAAATAATCAACCAGAACCGCTTCCACCATGTTACTTGCTTAGTTCCATGTTAAGACTGATAACTTTTATTCATTACGAAATCATTATAATGTATACAGAGTGCGGTGCTTGTGCTTATGCTAATTGCATAGTTGTGCGTGCTGTGCGAGTGCGAAGGTGACAAATAAATAGTGCAACTTTTTGCATAATCAGTCATAATTTATGCGTTATGCTCTTTTCGGCATGGTAACTCCATATAAACAGGCCCTTAGTCGCGTGACGTTTCAGAAGCCTGAAGTATTTTGTGGAAGTTAATTAAGGAGTGTCCATACTGATCCGAGCAGTTAGATTGTCTACAATCCGTATTTGATTGCTGTTTGTTCTCTGCACTTGTTATTTGCTTTGCTAACAGGTAAGAATTATGTTCAATATAGATAAGAAGTTAGCTCTTTTGTAAAGTGTAGCCTCACTAGATTCCTGCAAATCGAACATAGATAATTCAGCTAAGAACTCACACTCTCCGCTCGATCGAACTGAAGTCATTTCCCTTGAAGTGCTTCAGCCGTCATTTCTGTCAGTTCACTCAAACTCTCTGATATCTTCAATATTCGCTGGTTTCCCTTTGTATTTAAAGTTATGGGTTTTTGACGCCTGTCAAATGCAGAGCACAAAGACCAAACGATTTTGATAAAGTAAAACAAAGGCGCGTTCAGTCGGCCTTCTGCATGAGACGAGTTAAAGTTACACACTCTCAGCAACAGGGAAAAGGAAAACAGTGATTGTGAGTAAAGATGGCCTTAACGGAAAGTTTTGATAGAAGATTCTCGTAAGAATGGAAAGAGTTAGGGGACAAACTATTTCTGCTAGTGCTGACGTCAATCAGCTCTGATCGTTAATCGTTCTGTCTGGTAGTTGTTCAACGTCGATCAGTTTTCAGTTTTTTCACATTAAGCAATGGAAGTGTTTGAACTGATGACAAAATACTCACTTAATTCCATGGATTGTGCTTGATTTTATCCTTGTGGATCGTGCAATCTGAATTATTCCTTATTCGTGAATCGTGATTACAGATAATACGATTTTTTCATGTTCGCGTGAAGTAATTTTTTTTATTTAAACGTGACTCGTGTGTGAATAACTGAATTAAACGTGACTCGTGAACCATTTTGTTTTGCGTGATGAATTCCCGGCTTTTTAATTGTTTTGAAAATGAATTGTTCACGAACGGTTGTGGTTAAGTTTTGACCTGGGTTTGGACAGGACAGGAACTTTATATGGATCAATAAAAGTCATAAACCAGACCTCTAATGGTCCTTGAACAAATAATGTAAGACATTCTGTCATCATTTATTACTTGAGACTGGTCAAGACTAGGAAATTGAAAATTTAGTCAGGGAATTTGGCTTTTTACTTTCATGTGAAATGTCTCAAATGCGTGAGCGTGAAAAAACTTTGATATTATTCGTGATGTGTGAAAAGGCCAAATATTTTTATGTGACTGAGTTTTACAAAGGGGTATGGCTGGGGAAACTCTGACAATGAAAAGATACATGCAATTCAAATTCTTAGAAACCTTTGAGCTCAGTTGTTTGTGATTCATTGACAATCGTTCTCAGTGAGATGTATAAGTAACCACATCATACTTTTAATGTGCATTTCAAGCCAAAAATTTCAATTATTCCAGTATTAAATGGCCAGTTGTCTCTTGTTTGCGAAAAGAACAAAAACTTCCCTGTACATATTCAATAATTTTGATCATTATACATAAGATTTACAATGAAAAAGCTGATTGGTCATGAGCATTCAATCAATATACAATAGTGTGTGAAGTTGACATGATAAAATGCAATATCTGAGGCTTATACTGCATTTATCTTCTCGAGATCAATGTCTGCCTAGTTTCCAAGACCTTAGAGTTTAGTGTTCTCAACCTTTTGCAAACCTAGAGAGATGCTCAAAATAGCTGAATACCTCTAAAAAATTTGTAATAAAACAATTATTTAATTCAGTTTTTGATATCATGCTCAACCTCATTCAATAATCGCTTATTACTCTGGCGTCAAGACCATGGATAGACCATGGTCATCCATGTTCCTGCCATGGTTGTTCACAGGACTTCCTGTTGTCCAATTCTGTTTGTAATAATACTCTTGATTAACAAATCAGACGACTGTTATCAATTAATCACAATATAAAAAAATTGGAGAAAGAAACTAGACATGCATTATACATTTATACATTTTAATAAAAAAAAACAACAACAACAATTAACTTGGCAAAATGCAGGACAACAGTGTGTGCACATGATGCGTTCTTTCCACTTCCACAGGCATGACATGATAATTGTCCCTTTAACTGTCCTATAACACGGTCCAATTACAAGCATGACACACACACTGTACTATAGGTGCTCAAATTGGGCTGGAGATAACCAATCATGTTGAAGAATTTTGTTATAGTTTTGATTAACAGATGAAAGTTATATTTTCAGATGAAAGTTTTTCCCCCTCAACATTTTTTAATTATTCTGATATTTGCAAATTATTGAGCCCTGAAAAGGAAGTAAGGACTCGGCTATTTTTTTTATTGCATTCAAACAAAAAATATCGCTAAAATACTTGGTTATAAGGCGCACCGTTGTTTGGGGAGTAAAGATCAGTCAAGTTTATTGTAAATTCTTTCATAAAGAAAAAGCGAAAAAGTCGCAGGGTAGCCTATATTAAAGATCCATGGCACAAAAAAGGCTTTTTATCTCTTCGCTTTGTTGTTTTTTTTTTTGCAAGTCAACCCTGAGCACGTATCATTTTTTTTAACCATTACTTGTTTGTTTTAAAAAGCAACAAATGCATTCAGTGCACATTTGGGGACATGAATTATTTTGTTTTTTTAGGTAAATATAAGTGTTAATGGTCTTCTGGAAACATTGGTTTTCATGGTAGATAGCAGCTGAGTTTAAACACGTAAATCTAATTTCTTTTTGACCCTTTCACTCCCAAGATCTCTTTAGTAATTCTCCCTACTGTTTGCCATACCATTCTTATGATGTAAGTTTGGAGAATTTGGTATTGGATCATCTAATAATCCTCTAACTGATATTTTCCTTTGTTCATATCACTTACAATATCTGCTTGATGTTGTGTTGATATTTTTATTGAGGAGTTTTCGAAGATTCAGTTGGGCGAGAAAAACCTATCCTGTATTGGTCACTCATGCAAGGTGAAAAAAAATAAATATGTTATACATGAGTTTTGATGTTGGTTAATGATTGCAGTTGTAAAATTTTTAACTTGAATTCATTTTGCTGAAAATTAAATATTCAAGAAGCCAGGCACAATTTGTAAAGTTTTGGAGACAGTCCTTGATAGATTTGTTAATTAATGAAGGATCTTAATTTATTTTACAGTCAACTCTCTGCTAATGGACACTCTCGTAGGTGGCCAGTTCTAATTATGGACACTTTTTTCAATTCCTCATTTTTCTGCTTAGTACCAATTGAGTTCTTTATCACTATCCTCAGTTAATTGATATATACTTTTTCTTTTCACATTCCCTTCTTAGTTAAGCTTTTATTGATAAACATGAATAAGAAATTAAAACCAGTTTTCTCTACTCTTTGTTATTTTTTATTTCATCAACAACATTCAATACATAACATAATGAGTACAGCAACTATGGGTGATTTGGATGATATTTCATGCAAAACATGTCTTCAATTGAAAATTGTAATCTTAAAACCATCATGCTGCTAGACAAACTCTGTAAAAAAAAAAAACAAAACAAAACAAAGAGCTCTCATTCTGATTATTTTTGTATCAAAACAGTGAATATGTCAGTGAGAAGAACTTATCCAATCAGTCTTTATTAAATAACTAGGACCATATTCTGATGAATTCACTCTGTTAATTGCAAGTAAAAATAGCTTACAGAGGATAAAATCAAACAACAGGTCTGAAAATTAGCAACTTGTTCTGAATATCTACAGCTTAGAAATCATTCATGCTTTGGTTTATTTACAACTGTCTTAGGTTATCACATGAAAACAAAACCAACCATAGATTTGCACTAATTATTTCTTTCCTGTTGGATATTAATTTTGAAATGGAAGTAGTAATTCGTATGTTTTTGGAAAAACAGCTTGGAAAACTCAGTGTATTTAAATTCAAATATCTTTCTTGTTCATAATTGCCTTTTCGTTAACATATATAACTCAAGCAATTGTTTATGAACACAAAAATTATACAATTAGATTTAAGTTGAAATGTTTCTGATGAAAATAAATAACTCAAGAGCCTTTACGCATAAGCATCCGGTCCTTTACTCAAAATGTTTAAAAGAACACTGAAGGGTGGATGGCTTCCAAAGATAATGTACTACGAGGAATAAATCATTACCTTGGTTCAGTAGATGTTAAATTATAAACCTCATTCTTGCCAATTTTTGGTTCGATTGTTATTATAAATGCCACAAGAAAGTTAGTTCAAGTTACTCACCTTTAATGACAGCTTGTTTTTTTCGTTCTGACAGTTACATTACTAAGACATGGATTCCCATATTTCTAAAGAAAAGCTGAGAAGTAAGATTGTAACAACTTATTACGGAAGAAAGGAATTAAATCTGTCATGGTTGGATTTGCTTGAATTGCCTGAAGCGGTGCTGGAATTAACTGAGTTGGAGGAACTTGACCTGTCATGGAATAAACTTAAAACAATACCTGAAAATGTTGGAAAACTAAATAATATTACGGAACTTAATGTAAGGGGAAACCAGCTGTCCATATTCCCTGCAAGTTTGACACAGCTGAAGAAACTCAAACGGCTGTACATCTCACATAACAAACTAACCACCATCCCTGATGCTATTGGTGAGATGGTGGCACTGGAGGGACTGGATCTGAGTTACAACCAGTTGACTGTGTTGAGTCCAGCTATAAAACAGCTGAAGAAACTCAAATGGCTGAACATCTCACATAACAAACTAACCACCATCCCTGATGCTATTGGTGAGATGGTGGCACTGGAGGGACTGGATCTGAGTTACAACCAGTTGACTGTGTTGAGTCCAGCTATAAAACAGCTGAAGAAACTCGAATGGCTGAACATCTCACATAACAAACTAACCACCATCTCTGATGCTATTGGTGAGATGAAACAGCTGTGGCATGGTAATCCTTTTACAGTTGAAGGAATGAGAAGTGTTTCGGACTGGAGATGGTGGCACTGCAGGGACTGGATCTGAGTTACAACCAGTTGACTGTGTTGAGTCCAGCTATAAAACAGCTGAAGAAACTCCTATGGTTGTCTGTGTATGGGAATCCTTTTACAGTTGAAGGAATGAGAAGTGTTACGGAGCTAGAAGATAGAGGAATAATTGACCGAGTATATTCAGATCTCCGAGGTGAGTAAAGGAAATTTCTGTTCACATTATTGTTGTGACATGTGCATTTACTAAATTGGTTCTAATAATTGACTTGCAAGTGGTTATTCTGCTTGTTACTGATTATTACAGGTAGCTGGCGATAGTTAAACTGTAAATACTGTCACAGTTTTTGTGTGGTTTAACAAAGTTGGCATCACTTGAGAAATACATGACATTTGTAATGGAAGTTTTTGTTCTATATTGAAAAGCTTTATTTTAACAATTTGGCTGACATTGAAATTTAAGTTCATCAATAAGGAAATATGATTTGATGTGGAATCAAGAGAGTAAATGTTATTACAAATCATTCTATGCAGTTAGGAATTATTGTTTTGAGTTTTGCTTTCTATTTGACTGGAATAAAGAAAGGATAAAATGTATCCCAAGTAGTTTCACTGCTAGGAATTGTTGTTTTATTTTTGCTTTCTATTTGATTCATTGAAAGTGTTTAAAATTTGAATAACTTGTGGCTTATCAAACAAAATTTATAAACTAATACGATTTGTGAATTAAGTTACAGGAATAGAACTTGAATTTGTTTTTAGCATGACTAAATTCTGATTGTTATTTCCATATAATTTACACTGGTGATTTTTGCACAATTTTTTTAACTTGCAGTTGTTACCTTTTGGATATATGCGCTTTTTCTTTCTCTTTCACAAACAATGAATTGGTTATTGACTCCTCACTACTTGGCAGAATTGATTTAAGTCATTGCCTCTCTCTTGTGTGATCAGTCACAAGTGGTTCTAATTCTTAATGTTATAAAACATTAAGTCAATTTAGTTTTGGTGTGCATGTTCACCAAACTCATCACTACATTTTATGCCAGAAGTATTATTTTGATTGACTGAGTAATTTTTTTGTGAGAGTGGAATAAATGTGTTTTCCAAACTCACTAATGCATTAATATCAGGAAAGAAAACAATTTTGATGGTTTAGTTTTTATATACCAGCCTTTAACTCCAACATTATTGATGTTGGATATTTATACTAGTTGACTTGTAAACTTTTACCTTTGCTTTTTTTTTCAATTATTTTGTACAAATTTGTCAATGCACCAATTACTTTTTTCTTTGTGTTGTGAAAACTTTTTATAAAATTAGGCCAAATACCAAATCAACATAAAGTACAGCTGGCTTATGAAAGGGCTTTGAAAGATGGATATGTCACAGTTTACCGCAGTAGAATATTACTCATTGGTCAGGATCGAGCTGGTAAAACCAGTTTAAAGAAGAGTCTCCTTGGCCTTCCATTTGACTCTGAAGAACAGAGCACTGAGGGGATTGAAGTGGATCCTTCAAAGTGTGAAATTGATGTTGACCAAGCTGCAAGGAACTGGCAGTCCATTGGTGAGATTAAACCAGGACTGTTGGAATGTTCTAAAGACGTGGCAAAGACTGTTGTGGAGAAAATTTATGCACAAGATGAAAATTCAGGAGTAGATACAGATGAAACTTCAGAAGAAGATTTTGAAAAAGATTCAGCCCACATTTCATCTGCAGATTTTGAAGAGGGATCTTTCAATGGTTACAAATATGGCAGAAAAGAGGTGATGTCAGAATTTTAAAAACATTCTTCACAAACATGTTTAAGGCAGCTTTTAATGACAGTATAGTTTAAAATTCTTAATATCAAATAAAGATTATGTGAACCTTAAAGTGAAGCAAAAATTAAAATTGTTTTATTTTTTTTAATTGATTTTTTTACTTTGCAGTGGTCTTAGCCAAAAAGCAGGGAACTGCTGATAGTCAAAACAATAATTTCTCTCCCAGTATAGTACTTGTATTTTATTTAATTTACATCAAACTTTGGCATAATTATTTCAGAAGTGTAATTAGTTTGCTGGCTAAACTGAATCACTGTGTTACTTAAAGTAATTAATTCACCTTATTTGATACTTTACTCAGGTTGAGGATAAAGGAGATTACCTGTCAGTTGATGCTATGCACAACATTAGCATTGAACACACAATGGACTGCACCTCAGATGAGCCCAAGGTAATTATTGATGTTGCTCAACCCCCTGATACTGTGAAGCATGTTCATCAGTTGTTGAAGTATCTCCAAGGCAAAGACATCAAAAGTGGTTTATTCAAAGAAGAATCCTATGTTATGGATATTTGGGACTTTGCAGGGCAGCACCTGTACTATGCCAGCCATCCTATCTTCTTATCACAGCGAGCACTGTACATATTGGTGCACAATCTCAGCAAGCCTTTGGATGCTGCAGCTGAGCCCTGCATGAGACAAGGGAGTAATGATGTGAAATTGGAAAACCCTAACAATGAAACAAACATGGAGAATTTGCTGTCATGGCTGGCTACAGTACACGGTGTTGCCCTGGCAACTGATGACCCAGATGATGATGCACAACATAAGCTGCCCTACCTCCGTCCCCCAGTGTTTATTGTTGGAACACATGCTGACAAACCAGTTGAAGACATAGAAGTAATAAAGAAACAAATACAGGAGAGAATTTCTGGTATGGAATATGAGAAGCATGTGGTCAGACCCTTATTCTGCATTGACAACACTCAGGGACAAAACTTGATTGACAACAGTCAAGGACAAAACTTGATTAAGAAATTTATCCAGAAGATTCGAAAGCAGAGAGAGAAACATAAAACAGGTAAGATATCTCATGTCATATTGTATCCTTAAAACAATGTGTTACTTGCAGTAATTGATGGTTTTGTAATTGCATACTAGCTCGTCTATGGGTCAATTCCAAGAACACTTAATTTGTGACCATTTCCTTTTAATCAAAGGCCCATTTGGTAGATGCTTGACAAGCATTGAGCATACAATAATTATTGTCTGACTCACATTTAAATGTCATCCAGCAGTTCTGCTGTGTGTCATTATAATTTTAAAAAGGTTGGTAAACATGTAGAATGTCTCAGTGGGAGCGGTAAGGGAAGGATACCACCCTGGTTGAATGAGTTCAGGCTTATAAAGGAAGCTAGTTAGAGTTGTTGCAGTTGTTTTTTTTTATTAGCTGCACTCTTCTTAGCTTTCAGCTACTTTATGTACCAGCATCACTATACTGGGGCCTATAAATTTTTGCTGACAGATTCATTAATCTTAGAGTTTAAAATAAGGAACAGAAGATGACTTTGGGAAAAGGAGAATTATCTTCTGAGCTATGTTGTCAGCTACAGCATAAAATATCTGTTGTCACACATGTATGATACAAACTATTCTCATTGTAAGCACATGTTTCTGTGTTACATTATGCTTTGAATTCATTTTCTAAGCATATACAGCTGAGGAAGAAGGAAAAGGAGATGGAATAGATGAATTGCAGAACAGAATCCTGGAGGTATTGAGGCAGGAGCCTTATATGGGGGAGAAAATACCTGTCAGGTAAACCAAAATATCTTTTTACCTGGCAAACCTCATTTCATGGACTTTGGGATTAATATTTTATTTAAACCATCATGAATAGTACTTTGAAGAGCAGTCAGTGTTTTCAGCATAACTGTATATGCATGTAAATGTATATGAAAACAAAAATATCTCACCTCCACTAGTTTGAAGTTCATTGAAACTCTTAAAACATCAGACTGGACAAATACACAGCTGTTATTTACGTGTAAACAAACAAAACTCTAATTCATGACATTGTGACAATACTATTTCTTTAAAAAGGTGTGAATGTCTGATGGATATTTGAGAAGGCACAGCTCTTTGAATGGAGATTGTTTGTGTGAAAAACATAACCATGTTTGAATTTTCCTAAAGTTTGGAGATAGCTAGACCAAGAAAATAGATGAATTAACACTGGAAGACTACAAATAAGTACATGTCTGACTGAAGTTAATATCCAATTTAAAACCCTAATACATTTTAATTATTCTGTTGCCTTCTAGATGGTTTTTGTTTGAAAAGGTGATTGAAGCTTTGCTGGCCAAACAGATTTATTACAGAAATCTGCAACAACTTGAGCACTATGCTAGGAAAGATTGTTTCATGAAAGATGCAAAAGAGTTTGAGGCCATGATCAGTTTTTATCATGGCCTTGGGATGATAATCAAGCACCGCAGTACAGTTGTACTTAAGGCTCAGTGGTTGATTGATCTGTTCAAACAACTGATAACCATTCCACCTTTCAATGAACAGGTGAGAAAAAAATTTCATTTTTGGAAAGCCTTACCTGCAAAATGGTCATTCATTTAGATCATTAGAAAATGAGCGTGACATTTTTTTAAATAAATAGGCAACTAATGCAACAGCTGTGACGCTTTGATCTTTACAACTGCTGACCCCAAGTTATTTTGTGTACATTTTGCAGCTTTTCAGGTCATAAATTGATTTAGCCTTTTTACTTTACAACAGACTTGCATTGACTTGCTACCATTCACAATCATTGTATTCACACAAGTGAATAGTTCTTTTTGCATGTGCTAATTGGCTTCTGCAGTGGTGAATAACAACTAATAGTCACCTCTGAGCAGCCCAAGATACAAAATTGCACGTTAAGAGTGTAATTTCTGACCATTTTGGTACACTGATTGAAATAAACTTTTCTAGTTTCTGTACATATACGTGGCGAACATTCAAAAGGAACATTTAGTGGACTTCTCTAATCTGGAATTGCTGTCATTTACATATTTTGTAGACTCCTTTATATGCTAAGTACTGGCAGGAACTTGAAGCAAGTGGCATCCTTAGCATGGAACATGTTGATCATGTGTTCTCCAGCTTTATTACGGGAGGAATCGTTAAGGCAGACATCCTTGACATGATGGAGCGATTTGGTTTGATCGCTAAGTTCTCAGCTTCCCCAACTGACAAGAAGTACTTTGTACCAGCTCAGTTGAAGTCATCGCCTGTAGAACTCTGTAACATGGAATTATCATCAACTGACCCTTGTCCATTGTATCTCCTCTTTGTCCATGGCTTTGTCCCTCATGGTCTTTTCTTGCAGCTTGTCTCCCGATGTATTCGTTGGTGTTCAGAGACATGGGCCACGCATCAACCCACCCTGTACCAAAATGGAGCATGGTTCATTATTGGGAAAGATATTCATGATTTTGTCCTCATATGCAAAACAGGATTTGTGAAGGTAACCTTGAGACAAAGAAAAGCACAAAGTGATCAGGTTGAAGGACAGAACTCCGTCGAACTAGCAACTCTTGTTCGTGAATTTCTTGAAGACACCCTAAAGAATTTGTCACAAGAAATGCCATACCTGAGAGGAATGAAGTATAGGCTGTGTGTTGCATGTCCTTACTGTCATCAAGGGGCAGAAGAAACACGTCGTGCATGCTCAGACCAAGTGAAAACCAGTTGTACACACAAGGACTGCTTCCACCTCATTGATGCAAATGAAGGTCAGCCGGACATCTGTAAGCGAAAACCTTGCAATATGGTAGAACCAGTTTGTGGATTAAAGAAATGGTTCTTGAAAAGAAGAAGCCAGGTATAATTGATTATAGTGATTTTTCACGAAAAGATTTCTGGCCTCAGTTTCATCTTTGCTTTGCTCCCCTAATTTACTTGATGTGAATATCAATTGGACTGTTATCAGTGGTGAGAAAGGGAGCCTTGATAGGTTGTCTTCAGTTTTAAATATAAGTCGGAGAATTTCTAACAAGATGAAATTATTTTTGAATTTTATACTCTTTTGTTTTTCCTTGGTAAAGTATTGATCAATAAAAATTTTATATGACCACACCAAAAGTTTTTTTTTTTATATAATCCTATATGACCTTTTTTCTTCAGGGTTTGTCCTCTTCAAATGTAGCTGCTAGATCACATGATGAAGCAAGTGAAATCAATCCAATGAAGTCTGCCACAGCATTGAAGGTGACTCTCCTGGGCAGTGAGTGGAGTTCGTCAATGGGAGGCTTGTCCACCATCAACAGACAGCTTGCCATTCTGTTGGCCAAACACTCTGAAGTGGACGTTACTCTCCTTGTCCCACAGTTTGCCTGTTCTGAAGACGAGAGGAGAAATGCATCAAGTCACAATGTTTCCATCCAGGAAGCCGAGAAACTTGCAGGCTTCAGTGATCCTCTTGAATGGTTGAGTTTCCCACCAAGAGACCTTGACATTGACTTTGTGCTGGGTCATGGTGCAAAGCTTGGTAAGCAAGCCCAAGTTATCAGAAAGTATCACAGTTGCAAGTGGATTCAGGTGGTGCACACTGCACCCGAAGAACTAGGAATGTACAAAAACTATCCCATGGCCATTTCCAAAGGTGAAGATAAGAGTACAACTGAAGTGGAGTTGTGTAAGTTGGCAGATGCTGTGGTAGCAGTTGGACCAAAGTTGACGAAGGCCTACTCTTCTTACCTGCGCTCATGTGAGAAGCACCAAGATATAATTCAACTGACACCAAGCACGTTCATTGAGTTTTCCGACGTTAAACAAGCTGCAGTTGACATGGACAACTTTAAGGTTCTAACGTTTGGCCGTGGTGACCCAGAGGACTTCAGCTTGAAGGGCTACGATATCTCTGCCAGAGCAATAGTTGAACTGGAAGACAGGTCTTACCATCTGATTTTCGTGGGTGCACCTGACGGTAAACAGGATGAGGTGGCCAAAAATTTACTGGAGAGTGGAATTGATAAAAAGCAGCTGACCGTGAGGAAGTTCATGCAAAGCAAAGAGGGATTGAAAGAATTATTTTGTGAAGTTGATCTCTGCATCATGCCCTCTAGAACAGAGGGGTTTGGTTTGACGGCTTTAGAAGCATTGTCTGCTGGTCTTCCCATTCTTGTCAGTGGCAACTCAGGATTTGGTGAAGCACTGTGCACTGTACCATCAGGCAAATCATTCGTGGTGGAGTCTGAGGACCCTGAGGAGTGGGCAAAGGCAATTGCTGGTGTCCGACAGAAGGAAAGATCAGATCGACTTCAAGATATTCAACAACTGAGGAGTTCATATGAAGAGAAGTTTAGCTGGGAGAAGCAGTGTGACAGTCTTGTGGAGAAGATGTGGGACATAGTTCATGGTGAGAATGTTTTGAATATCCTTCAAAAAGTGTTTTAGGGGGCTACTCGGCTTTCAGTCTCTTTTTAACTGTGACGGAAAGCATGAATACCTCATATAAAAAAGATGTTAAACATGAATAGTAATCATTCGTTTTATCCTCTTGTTGATTATACTGTTATTAAAATAAAAGCTTCTTTCTATTTTTTAGCTTCTAAAAGACAAGACACAAGTTTCAGAGCTCAGCAGGTCAAAGTTGTTGACACGTCAACTGAACAACTAACAGTGGATTCATTACTGACTCCAAGTGAGTAAAAGAATTTAATAACACATAATAATTGATATCCCCAAAGAAGTACAGACAGGTTACAAGGAGATCCTGTGATTTTCTTTCCTTGACTCTTGACTTCAGGCAAGCTATGTTTTGTAAAAACTTAGCAAGGTACTTTTTACTTTTGAGACATGTTTTTACTTATACCCCTGCACTCTTCAGTCACAAACATAAGACATGAACAAAAAAATTTGATTTTCTTTCACTTCCGAATCTGGACGGATGGCTTAGTGGTATTTATTTCTTTGAGTCATTTGAAGTTTTCACCCAATTGGAAACTACCATAAATTGTCTGAAACCAGGCCAGAAACAAAGAGACATGGGGAGCTCTTACTGTCCATATCAAAATCAGTTTATGTTCTATTCACAATACAGTTGTCTGTTGAAACAATATTGAAGTAATCACATATTCATACGGTAGAGGAAATACATCAGAATATTTTTGAAGCTCGTACTTTTATTTCAGGATTCCTTTCTCCAGTTACACCGATATGAGTGTGGACCTCGTCGTTAATTTTTCTTCTCTGCTTCTTCTCTCTTGATTATTGGTGTATTCATTCACAGACAGAAATCGAACTTAAAAAGTAACTGGACAAAACAGCGGAAGTCTGGTGGTTGAAGCTCTTTTCCTTTTTACCCTAAAAGTTTCTCTTACTAGATTGAGAATTGTTAATTTCCAGCAGACGATTGTTTTGCTCTTTCCACACAGTTAGATTAATAAAGACTTTGTATTTTTTAAGGTTATCTTAAACAAATTATCCAGGAACTTCAGCAGATGCAACTGGATGCAAGCAAAGTCAAGAGCAGAACAGATCTATCATTGGGGCTGAGGAATATTGCATCAGACAGGGGCTTCAGAATATCTGACAATCAAGGATTAGGAAATTGCATGTTCTATGCCTTGTCCGAACAACTGGAAATTGTTAAGGGAATCAAAATCCCACATGGCGAATTGAGACAAAACTTAGTTCAGTACCTCAGGGGCAACCCAAAACTTGTAAGTTGATGTTAGTATGTCTAACAGAGTATGTCACGTGATGTTATTTAATGAGTATGATAAAGATTTACCGATGATACAGGCTACTTGGCTAACATCACCAGAACCTATCCCAGTTTTCACAGCATGAAGTCAACCAGAAATATTGTTACTCCTCCTGTATGGAATGATGGTCTTTTTTTCAGGAGTTCTGATACCAGCTTGTACTCCTGGTTGAAAGGGGAACTTGAAATATTTAACTTTATTATTTAAGAAGCCACACAATGACGTTGGTTACAGTTAAATTCATATGTTGTTTAATGCGGTGTCTGAAGACGCAGGCCAACCCGGTTTTAGTCATTTGAATATTTAGTTTAAAAAAAAGTTGGCTTTAAACCTCCATCAGAAAACAGAATTCTAGTCATTCTCTTAATGATGGATCTTTTTTGTTGTTTTCCTGCTGTTTGCAAAGTGCTTTGATACATACACAGACGTTTTGAAAGACGTTTCAATCACAAAATTTGTTACTATGCAGTAAATTGCTACTCAAAGGTTGTCTCGTACCATTCTCATAAAATTACTACCTGACTTGTACTCCATGCGCTCAAGTTCCTATCAACAATCCTTTTAAGTTTCCTTCTTTAACTAATTCTTCTTACAGCCGGATGGAACAGATCTGTTTGACTTTGTCCATGGACATCAAACATGGACTGAATACCTAGTACACATGGAACAAGATGGCGCTTGGGGCGATCACGTGATTCTGTGTGCCGCAGCAAACTACTTTGAAACGTGCATTCGTGTGGTCAGCAGTCTATCCCATAGCAATGATGTAATCATTACGCCACATTGTCCAGTTGACGAAAGCAAGCCTCTCGTGCTGGGACATATTCATGAGATGCACTATGTCAGCCTTCAACCCGTGCAAGGTAACTGGGGACTATTGTCTGATTGGCTGGGAGCAACTCTAAAATCCTGGTGTTCTATTGGCTAATCCAATAACCCATTCGAAAGGTGGGAAACCGAGAGATGGCGGTTGCAGCTTTGGAAGAGTTTTTCTCTCATTCATACTTTGGTCGTTGTTTTTATGGAGACCTTGCTACCATTGCGAAAATCTGACATGGTAGTCACAATCATTAGTGCCTAATGATCATTGTGGTGAACGGTGATTCATCCCAAATAAAAACGACAGCGAGTGATCTTAAAATTGGACGAAGTGCAAGCTTACACGAGTGCCGATCAAGAGCGAAATTTGAGGACAGCGAATCGTTTTTTCTTTTAAAATGCAGTTTTTCGATATCGTTTGGGGTGGCAAAGCATAGTGGAGTTACCATAAACAATAAAGTAGATCTACCTTGAATAAAATTGCGTAAATTTGGTGTTCCTTTGAAATGATAGTCGTTTCTGGTGAAAAAAGGAAAACTTTGCGCCTGGCGAATTGGAAATAAACAGCACCATATTCACAGTTTTCAGAATCCCCTCTACAAATATTCGAGTTACGATCCAAAACAAACAGAGGCAGATGAACTTTTAGTGGAAATTCAAAATGGCAATGGTTACTCAACTGGTTTTGGTCGTTCAGAATGAACTATGGCCTCAATCTATGGCCTTTCATAGCACGAGAGCAACGCGACAGTCAGTTTACTTCATGTAGAGTTATTTGGCTTTAAGTGCCCTAGACTTTGGTCGTGGAAAGTGATACATAAATTCCAAACAACTGGTAGTAGGCCTTTTATCAAAGAAGAGCTCCATAAGTACAAACAGTCATAAAAAGTAACAAGGCCTAGAAAAAAATGTCGCAAGCATGACACCTTAGTGCAGAGTACAGCGGAAATCTCATCATAAGTGGAGCTTTATTCGATCTTTGTTGTGTCCATTGGTTGGTTAATTTTCCGGTTTTAGACTTCAATTGTCATACTATATTAATCGATGAGTCCGTTCAGCATGTTTTTGAAACATAATCGCCTCTCAGTGATGTTAAGTAATTGTTGATACGACACGCCAGCGAATGTGGCTGCTTAAAACACGAATAATTTCTAGTTCTTTACGCTTTCTTGAGGCCAAATATCTGAAACGGGAGAGTGATGCAGCAATTTCCTTATTCTGAGTATAGAATTGTAAGTAAGGAATTATGAGACCTTAAAAAAATTTAAACTAAAAATTTAAAGAGGCAAGGGGTGTGAAAGGCGAATAAAAATAATAAGAAAACACATAGTCCAGCAACCAGTCAGAGAGCAAAGCATTCACATTTCTCGTTACCTTTAGTTACAGAGTATCACCTCTATCAACTATTTACAATCTATAGATAGTTTTTAGTGTCAAATTCTACATCTAACATTTGTCCACATGTATATGCTTATAATATATAGATTTAGCCAAGCCTAAAAGCGGAGCTCGCATTTTTTTTCCCGTACGTCTCAAGGGCACAACGCCTTGTCCCGGCCAGGACTAGATCCTGGGTCGTCCGACTCGGAGGTCAGTGCACTGACCACTGGACTACTGAACAAAGCCGTGGCATTGGCGTGCCCGCGGTACAGTTGACCACGCATGTTGAAAGTAGCACCTTGTGCGGTGGTACCGTCATACGGTCGTACATCCAAATTTTTTCGGCTTGATGGGTTACTACTATTTTGTATGATTATGGGGCTACGCTCTGCGAGCTCCGCTATCCTAAGATTACAAGTTTTACTAAGACTTGCCACTTTGTATAATGTTATAAAGATCTGTTGTCAAGCATTTAAAGTTATACAGAATAGCAGTAATCCTGGAGGACTGATTGAAACTAAAGTATAATGATAAAATAATAATACCTCTACACATACACCAAACATTGTTTCTGGAGCTTGAACACTTTGCGCAAAGGCTTCTTCAGCAAAACCGAAAAATGTTCACCAGCTAGGTTAATTTGCAACATGTCGTTGGATGTTAATAATTAACATTATTTGAGATTGTGATTGTACCCCAATGAAACTAAACCATTACATCAGACAGTGCTAAAAGAGAGTTGTCCCAGGTCAACCAGTGCTTAACCAACTTAACAACTTATCAACAATCATCATTATTGATACAACAATAATTATTACGATCACTACATGAATTTTTTACCTCACTTTACATTTAAGCCGGGATGTGTAAAAATAGTTAATATAACATCTGAATGACGTGTAGCTGTTGTATTCAACATGCCATTGAAAGTCATACAATGTTACTATCGAACTGTGTCAAATGGCTGACAGGAGCCTATTTTGTAACAGTCTATGTGGACGCAGTTGGTCTTATTGGACTTATATATGTGACATATTTAACTACATTCACCATCCCTGTGTAATTTTATTGCGATTAGAAACTTGACTCAAAGTGTATTGACTTTCTCCTTAAAATTTGAAATCATACCAACATTGGATAATCTGTTATACCTTTCTATAACCAGATACCATCAGCTCATTTCCCCCTCCCTTGGACCCTTATTAGAACACATAAAAGCAACCTTAAGTACTAGAGAAGAAGAAGAAGAATTAATGGGACAAGATGCGTAACAAACCAACCCAAAAGCTGTAAGTAGTATAGTTAAGAATAACAAAACTAAAGCTCACTTGAAATTTTAAATTTGGAAAGACTTGAACTAGAAAATGTGTCAAAGAAAGAGAAAACGTCATGGTTTAACATATTAAATTGAAGCAGCAACATCATCTCCAAGCAACATCTTCTGACCATTTCTCTGGCCAAAAGTAGGAAAAGGGGTTCAAGTATTCAGCTGACAAGTAACTAAGGTGACAAAACAATGACAATATTATTTCAATACATAAAGAAAAAAATTAACATAAACAAATAACTTGATTTTAAGGCCTCCCACATCCCTAAGCAGTGTTTTAATGCCCTCTTCTCTTTTGCTGCCAAACCTGTATGATTATGAGGTAATAAAAACAATAAAAACAATTCATGAAAATGAACATAATTATATAAAAACTTTATATTCCACATTCTCCCTCCCCCTTCTCTATGCCAATCAGAGTCCTGATGAACAGCCACAAAACCAGAAACTATACCTTTTCAACATTGCCTGTGGGATAAAACAAGAATTGGATTTCATTCTTTCAACTGTTTTCCACAAAATGATCAGCACATACTTCATATGATCACACAAAATTTCATGTACCTTTCAACAAAATTTTTGACGGGATCATAAATGATATAAAAAAATATCAATTGACTTCCACATCACTCTGTATCAACATTCCATTAAACATGAAACACAAATGCAGCATCAAAGGGAGTGGGGTTCACTGTCCAATCCCTTACAGCTATAAATTTAATATAGAAAGCCATTTGTTTGATTTTGGCAGGCCCACAGGCAGCAATAGTGGCCCCTAGACCAAAGTGAGTGTGACTTTCTAAAAAGCATGACTCCCCATTAGGCCCTACCAGAATTGACTGGCGGCGAGATCAGCACTGTTGCAAGCTTTTTGTGATCTGATCTTGTCACCAGTTGTTGAAGGGTACCTGCGTAAAAAGAAAAGCTGTTGATCTGGTACACCACATTTAACCACACCCGAAAACCTCAGCTGAGGATGATTTATTATCTCAGGGGTACTGTAGGTTGGCTGCTGGTAGCTAAGCCGATTGTAGCTCTGATTTCCATAGATCGGAAGGTGCTTGAAAGCACCAATAAGGCCTATTGGCGAGGGCTCCTGTGGTGAAGGCAAAACCCAGTTGACCAGCTGACTGAGACACTGAAATTACCCACTCAGCTACATCATTATTGACTTGTCTTTCCTGTACAATTGATGGGCACTGTGGAAAAGAAGTTAAAAAAGAGGTGTTAGCATTTGCTGCTTGTCTTCGAGCACACCGCAGGCATGTACAAGATACAGAACAAAGCTCTGATGCACATGGATTCAAGGAGCACAATGGACAAGATTTACGTGATGCTCCTTGTGAATTGAATGGGTAGTCTTGATTAATACTACTTCTACTCACCACCTGAACTGGTGGGGGTCTTTCCGAGACAGACATTACATGAAGGGTCAAGTTCTGAAAGATTTGTTCGATGTTTGCATTTATTGTTGAGGTAGGGAGGTCATCATCATCATCAGCAGTACAATGATCATTCCTATCTCCACTACCTAATCCCTGTTCTCCGTCAATGATATTTTCATCATGGTCGCTTGCTGTGTTTCTTGAGGGATTAACTGATCTATTTGCATGAAGAGAAAAAGACCTGATTGCATTTTCAACTCCAACCCTGCAAATAGGACAAACATTAAAGTCAGTTAAACATTCCAAATGATAGGAATGCCAGCATGCTTCAAAATTTTCCATGGTACATTTCCCGAAACTGGGCAGTCTGTCAGGTCACACCTTTTCTCCCGGTCAGGACTGGGCAAGAACTGAAAACCAAGAGGCATGTAGTCTGACCTTATGGTACATTCCACAAACAAAGGTCTCGCTTTTGCCCTGGTCTTCTTAGCGAGGGGTGAGCTGAGCCAGGAGTGTTTACGATTAAACTTAAAATTTGCACAATTCTGGAGGCAATCCTTGAAATCAAAGAGGTGTTGTAGTAATCATCTATCATCAACAAAATTCGGATCCTATTTGCAATCAACAACGTGCACATCTTTGTTTTGTTTTCCAAGTAACTTGGAATCTCCAGAGTCTTGGTTTGCCCTATATCTGAGCTTGTTTGAGTTGTTCTCTCGAAAGAGCTGGTCTCAGTGTTTGAAAGCCACTCGACGCACCCTCCAGTCATCAGAACTAACTACTGATCTCACACCCTATTCAACACGCACAAGTAAGATTGAGTTTAAGTCCTGCACTCTATTCGGCACGCTTAGAAAACGCACATGTTCACGAGGATTGACTACAAGTCTCGAACTCTATTCGGCACGTACATAAAACGCTCAGAAATCTTTCATGTCAAGTGAGAATGACTTGTCACACTCTATTTGGTGCGGTCAGAAAAGGCATATGTCAATTAAGGTTGACTACAAGTCTCATTCCCTAATTGGCACGCATAGAACACGCACATGTCAAGTAAGAGTGACCTCAAGTCTCGTACTTTATTGGGCACGTACAGAAAGTGCACCTGTAAAGTAAGATCGGCCTTAAGTCTAGCACTCCATTCGGACTCGATACAGACAGAAGATTTGTGGATTTCCTATCCTATTTTAAAACTCTCTTTGGGAAGCATGAATTTCAGTCTCGCACTGGATTCAACACGTGGATATAGCTCTTTTCTTTAACAATCTATTACTGTTGTAATACTGTTACTGTTACTCGTCAGCTTACCTGACAGCTGCGTATAATGAAGCTTGCCTAGCCTTACATGAAGCTACACGTTTTGAGGTTAAAGTTCAAATGGTTGAACTCATACATCGTCTCTTAATTTTTTGAGAGAGAAGCTTTGATATCTTTATATAGGTACATAGCAAAAGATTTTGCAACTTGAGCAAAAAGTTACGAATGGTTCTGTCCCGTAATTGAAAATGTATGTAGATATTTTGTAAGCACTTTTGATAATCAGCAATCGCAGATCGTTTTTACCAAGTTTTTGTAATTGTTGTTTGTAAGCACACACTACCATTTGTTATTACAACGTGGTAGTGATGGGTATTACGCATTTAGTTTATCTTCCCTTTATTCTTACGGTATCCGGTCACTTCGTTCCATGACCACTTCGTTCCAAACCACTTCGTTCCATCCTTACCATTTTCACAACCCGGCATTCTTGAAGTTCTACTGTCACTGAAATAACTCGGGAATTGGAAAATATAACTGACCCAAAACCGATTACGCTTGGAAATGAGAGTAAGAAATTACACTCAACTAAAAAGATGAATATTTTCTTAAGAAGAGGAACAAAAAAATGGCCAATTGAAATTTAGCCAGACGGATTTCTACTCAATTATCGTAGGCAGTCACTGAGTTGTTTGATATTCCTGCCGCAGTCTATCTTTTGGTCAAAAGTCACTCTTAATGATTGCTGAAAATTGAAACTTAAGGCTATGCAGTTCGACGAAGCCGTATCTTGCGTGACAAATATTGAGTAACCACATGGTTCCGATTGCATAATCAGTCATAATTTATGCATCACGCCGCTCGATTCGGTATTTCACAAGGTACTCGTTATCGAGCGCCTGACTCACGGAGCTCCCATAGCGCATCGACGTTATCTGAAAGCAACTAGCGGCGCGTTAGCGTCAACTTTTTTGGGGGGGCTTGCGCAACGATCTTTGCCAAAAAGGAGAGACTGTTAGTAGTCTAACTGTTAATTTCTCAGGGTATGTAGACTTCGTGAAATTATTTCTTGTTTATTATTAAACAGTAATAACATGATTTTTTTTCTTGCAATTTAAGTTAAATCAGCATTCGTAAATTTTGCAGAAATCTGAAATTTCAAAGAGGAGAGGAAAGCAAGATATTTTATTGCTATAGACGTTGCTTGTAAATGACTTTACTTACAAATAGTTTGTAGATATCAGAAAGATATTAAAACTAAAAGTATGATGATTTTAGAGGAAAACTCTCTAAAACAACACCTGAAACCTGCTTTCTCCCTGGAGCAAAAGAACTTTTTTTTAAATATGTATTTACATTCGCCCAATTTAGCTAGGATTAGATTTCTGAAAAAGTTTGCTTTTGCAGTGATTTTTCTCACGGTAAATTGGCAAAAGTTTTGATCAGCATAAATGTGAAACTTTCTAAACTTGTGACATGGGGAACCTCTGAATCCATATAAACTCTTCCGAGAAATATTATGAAAATGTGTCATGATAACGTAATATCAACTTAAAGCATTATCAAACTTCCTGTACGTGGAAGGTTAAACCGAAAAGTGATTTTCAATTACGCTTTTTAAAAAGTTTTAAGAAGAAATATCAAGAAGCTGTTTTTGTTTGCAGATCACAACAATTATTTTCTGCATTTATTTGCGTTTGCCTTGTCTATCCAAGCCAAAAATTCGGAGAAGGAGACAGTTCCATTGCCATCTTTGTCCACACTTTTGAGAGCGATGGCGATCTGCTCCTCGCTGCATAGGTTCCATTCCTTGCTTCCAGAAGCCAACAAAGCTCGAAACTCTCTCCTGTCGATCACTCCACTCGCGTCTCTATCGTACTTTAGAAATTCGTCGGCAACTCTTCGGACGTAAGCGTATCGGTTTCGGTCGTCGATCACATTGAAACCTTCGCCGGCACGAAACCACAGTAAAAACTCTGTAAGAGAGACTTTCATATTTCCGTCTTTATCGACAAGCAAAAAACAAACTTCTGCCTGCTTCTCGTCCAATCCCATGTCTCGCAACATCGCTAAAATCTCGGTTTTCTCTAAGCATCCACTGTTATCCAAGTCGTATTTTCTGAAAATGCTCTTGATCACGACTTCTGGAACATCATCACGAAAGAGACTTTTACCAGCCATATCCACCGATGTAGACTTCAATGAGGAGCACAAGCCCAGAGGTTGTTTTCAAACACGGATTCACTCAAAGAGAGGTGTTTAAGTCTTGCAAAACCTCCAGGAGACAGTTATCCACATCTGTTAATCGCTGCAGTATTTATTTTAAGTGTTGATTTCCATTCAGCTTGGTTTGTTGGCGGACAAGCGTAACTCAATTGGGTGTAATTGACTCTATTGGGAGTCGATTCAGAAAAATTGAACTACAAATCAAAACTCGATGTGCAAAACAAAACATTCGTAGTTACCTTTAAAAATATATATACCTTAAAAAGACTAGCCATAAGAAATGAATAAATAATAAAGATGTTGAGGAAAATAATTGTGATCTTAGCGTGCCATTTTGAGCCGGCGATTTATCAAACCTGCTTGATTCTTCTTGGTGAAAAAAAAAAAAGGAAGAAGAAGACTACAGATATTTAAAGTACTCTTCAAAAAAGAATCTCAGCTTCAGATAATTCCGTCTTTGTTCTACAAATCTTCCCGTTTCTTTTGAGATGCAAATTTAGTCTAGATGGGGGCCATGAATAATGAAAACACTTTAATTTTTATTTGCATTTTATCCCCTTTCTTTTGATTTTCTGCATCTTTTGGCAAGAGCTTTAGTAGTCATGGACTTTTTAAACTCCCTAATCAATACATGACCAGCTCGTGAGGTCCCTGAGAGATCATTGGTCAGCATGCAGCTGCAGGTGCACTCTCCGTTGACTCCGTGAAATGTGGCTTAGGACGATATCTGACACATAATAAAATACGTGTTTATTGTTCATCGTGGTGTAAGATAGGAGATGAACTTTATTAGATTGTCTCACGATGGAGTCACTTTGGATGTTGATCGCGACGTTTCGACTGGAATACAGCTAGTCTTCATAAGGCGATGAGGTCGATTGTTTACGCGTCGCTATTTGTAGCACGTTGGTTTGTTGCTATTGGCGCATTACGATGCAGCATTAGAGGCACCATATTGCTTTATATTAAAGGGTCACGCCTGATCAGTGTGCTTTGCGCGATTAATTTGCGCAAACGATTAATTTAGGAAAGCGTCACGTGTTGTGTGATTCGGTGTTAAGTTTTGCGAAGAATCGTTGAGAATTTAAACACATTATGAGGAATAGTATGTTCATATTTCGAAATATCTATCATAGTAAATCGACCTTATTTCGTTCTCCATACAATTCCTCACAACGTGTTAAAATTCTCAACGGTTTCTCTCGTGACTTAGCACCGAATCACACAACGCGTGACGCTTTTATGAATTAATCGTTTACTTTGCTTGGGACGCCTGTGATTCGGGACCTCAATATTTTCCCCTCAAACCCACGTAGGGCAAAGGGTACCATAACGGCCGTAGCTTTTACCAATATTTCATGGGGAAAAAAGAAAACAGGTGTCATTGCCCAGAAAGCAGCTAATCCGCTAATTTAGAAGAAATCTATAACACTACTAAAAATAAATTAGAAGATTGGAAAGACAGGCAAACGTCTACCATAATACGATCAAAATCGAGGCTGAAAATCCAGACTCAGAAATTATATTCTTGGGCACAGGAGTGGACAAAAGCGAGAGGAAAGAATTTTTAAAAGGGGAAGCTTTCCGAGAACAAATTTGTGACATTCCACGTTTGATACTAACTGCTACAGTGTTTCAAGATATACACTGAAATAGGAGCGGATACCAAGATGAAATTTTGGAGAAATTAATGTCTGAATTAATTTCATCGGGAGAAATTTACTACCGGAAATTAATTTTACTAGGAGCTGGAAAGGTCATTCAAAAACTTACACGGGATTATACTTGCAAACGATCGTAAACGGTTCCCCGTCTAACGGTCACTCTGTTTGATTTTGCTCCGAAATGTTGCGTAGCAGGGCCTCTGCAAAATCGCTGCCTGTTTTCTTCCCAGAACCTAAAGTTCTCTGTCGCTCATTCCATGTTTTCAAGTTGATTTAGTAGGCCATATGAAATGGAAGCTTTTCACACGTGCAGGACGACCTCTTGTCGAGCAAGGGCTTCAATATCGCGAACCCGGAGTGAAAGCGACAAAAAAAGCAGCAAATAGACGATAGTCGTTTAAGAAAGTAGATGGGGGCATAAAAATCCTTTGTGGAAGTTCACTAAACGTAATCCTGGATAATGTCACATCTTCAGGATATCCTAACCGCGGAACGGTTGGCGCGTTGAAACCGCGGTCGAGAGGTCTAGGTTCGAGTATTACCTAAGTCACTGCGTTATGCTCTCGATATAGTCTACGTGTAGCCGTACCCCCCCCCCCCCCCGAGTGAAATGGAGTTTCTCCTGGGGGGGAAGGTTCGGCTACACGAAGGCCACTCTTGGCAAGACCCTCTTTGCGCTGGGGTGTAAGTGGGTACTGGTAAACAATAAGGAAAGCGTCGAAGAGAAGTTACCAGAGATGGACTAAAATCGAATTTCATCCAGGGGGAAGTAGTAATACTCCTGGTTGCTCAATGCTATGGCAACAGGGATAAGCTCCAGCTAGATGGGCTACTTAGCACGACACCACACTTAACCTTTGACTCTTAAATGAGTTGTCAAGTGGAATGAAAGCTGCAAGGAACACATCAGAGCAAAAATTGGCGTTAAAAGCACGAAAAAATCATTAACTTTTCTTCAGTCTGCCTTTTCGTTGACCACATTTTTCAACTTAATAACATTTTAATTGCAGCACAGGACGAAATTGCAAGAATCCGTAAACGGAAACGTGGCAGAAACATGTTAAACCGTTCCGGAAACACGACGGATAACCTGTGTTTCCGTTACCGGTTTCGTGACGTTTTCTCGCGTTTCCGTTACTGCGTATACAACGGAACCGGACCACTTTTACGTAAACATAACGGAAACATGGAGTTGCATGTTTCCGCCACGTTTCAGAAATACGGAAACATGTGATTTCGTCCTGTGCAGGTATTCTATCTGATTCTCATATCCTCATGATACGCCCGGAGCTGAAGAACCAGTAACCTGATAACGTCGCATTCAAAATGAGATAAAAAACGAATGGAGACAAATAAATAGTTAAAAAATAAGAGGGCCTAAATGGGGTAAACCGTTAGCTCTAAAACGGAAAAATAATAATAATAATAATAATAATAATGATGATGATGTTAATAATAATAATAGTTAAATGGCCGTTTGGCTAAAATTTGACAGATTTTAACCGTTATTCGTAAAGAAAGTTGGGGTAAATTTTTTTTCTTTTAACTAGAACAGAAAGAGATCAACCGTTAGCTTCAAAATGGCCAAAATTTTACCGTTAGGCGTAAAAGCTGTCAACCCACTGAGACGCTCTACTAAGGGATGGATGGATAAATGAATAAATAATTAACAGAACATTGCATAAATTTTACCCCCAACCGACCGTATCAGTAGAGAAGCAAAACGCTCCTCTTATTTGTTTGATCTAAGGAATAACTGTTTTAAATTATGAGCAAAAGCTCGCTTCCTTTCGGTAAGATCTCCGTAATTAAGGTAAAACCTAACAAAATTAGACACCAGAACCGGTGTGGGGAGACAGAACAGTACAACCCCACTCATGGCGCAAAAAGAGCCCACAAATTTCCCCAGGGGGGTTATAGGAACCACATCGCCATAACCTACACTTGTCATGGTGATTATCGTCCACCAAAAAGCGTCTGGAATGCTAGCAATGTTTGGATCTCCTTCGGCGTAGAAAATTGCGCTGGAGAATACCACGACTGCAACTATGATGCAAAATCCTAACGTCTTAAGCTGCTCTACACTGGAGTATATAGTGTTGACTAGTAACTTAACGGCATCGCTATATCTGGAGAGTTTAAAAACACGTAGAACTCTAAATAATCTTATTGCGCGTAATACGGCGAAAGAGCGCACTTCCTCAGTGCTGTTTTGAAACGCTAAGGTTACATAGAACGGCATAATGGCTAGTACGTCTAAAATCCCCATTGTGGACTTGACAAAATGCCAAACGACTGGCGCTGAGTAAAGACGAACAGAGTACTCAACTGTAAACCATGCAACGAATATCCCCTCCATAACAAACCAGTAATCGACAATATGCTCTTTGTAAGGCACACGGGTGTAATGGCCGCCTATGCTAACGTTCCGGTAAGTTGTCTTCGGTTGAAGCGCGAGCGCTGGAATAGTTTCGATACAAAACACAACAGTTGAAAAAACAATGACGAAAATCGCCCAAAGTGCAAGAATCCGCGCGGTTTTGGAAGACCGCGGATACTCAAACCACAGCCAAAGCTTTCGCTTGTGTGGACTAAGAGGTAAAATTTCTTCCACATCATCCTGCGAGGCTGACAAATCCTCGTAGCTGTCCGAGTAATAACTGCCGGGCAAACCGTAGAACTCAATTTCTTGCATAAATGTTTCTTCACTGACCGTTGGCGGTTTGGCAAGAATACCGCGCGATTGGTAAAAGAATAAAATGGCGTCGAACGATTGCCTGTCTCGAGCGAAAATGTATTCACCTAGTGCAGAGCTGTAGAACTCCATACGTCTAGATGGAGAGCCGAGCAGCGTGTCTGGAAAATTCCCCAAGGTCTCCTCGTATGTTTCAAAGCGCATACCGCTGACATTGATGGTAACTCGTGGGCTATTGTACGCTGATTTGTAAGATGGTACATTAATATAGTTTGCGACTCTCCGCTGTCGGGGAGTTTGGAGCGGGGGGAAGTTTATCGCGGCGTTATAAGCCTTAAGCATTTTACTCTCCGATTGACGCTATTATTTATTATCTGCTGAAGAGGATGATTTCTATAGACGCTTGTGTTTTCTTCATTAAATCCTGATGTTATGGCGTTACCGTCTGCCCGCCGAAACAGTGTGAAGACCGCATACCGCGCGTTATAGACCTCTCACTGGGGCCAGACTCATATAATTTGCGCATCACACCAACATTATAGTTGTATAGAAGTTTCCGGCATTACCTCACGTTGGCTGAAATGAAAAAAAAAGAGAGAGTGCAATAAATCATGATTGAGTTCTGTTGTGAGTTTATTTATACAGAAATTAACCATCACTGAAT